CATTTCACATGTGAAGTATTTACTCACTGATGAATATACCAGCTGCTGTACAATAGTTCTTGTGCAGTTGTTCCTAGAAAAATAAGGAATGAAATATGAAATGATGGTTCAGCAGGGAAACTCTGTGTTGAGCAAGTAGGAAAATTATGTTTGGGTCACTATATGGAAGCTGCCTTGAGTGACTTCAAAACTAGAACTGTTACATTAGAAAGGCCATTTTTACACATGAGAAATGCAAACCAAATGCCTTCGGTTGTTATAACTATTCTAATAAACAGATTTGGATTGATTTCATGTTTTGTGGCATTTGCCATTTTGCGCTTTTGAATACTTGTGTTCCTAACATGTCAAACATTAGTGGAGTTTTGATCTTTTCCTTTGTCTTGCAGTTGGGTTAGATTTTGACACTGTAATGGCCATAGATTTTGACTTGTATAAATATTGCAAATTAGCAGATGAATAAAAGGGGAGAGGCCAGGAACTTAATAGCTTTAAAAAAAATTTTTTTTAATTTTTTTACTTGTTGGTATTTTAAATTTGTTAAACTTGTTTCGTTCATCTATTTTTTCCTTCTATTAAGATGTATAAACGTACGCGCGTGCACACACACACATAACAAGTAACAAAATAATGGAAATTTCAATATCAAGTAATTTAGCCTAAGATCAAAACCCTTATTATAGAACAAATACCTTGATGTATGCTCTTCCTATATCTCTTCCTTTCCAATGTTATGCTTAACTTTGAATGAAAAACCAAATAATCATAAGACTCGTGACAGTGATATCTTAAACTGTAACTAATAATGATAGAATATCCACCTTTTTTCCACTCTTTTTTATATTTAATACTCTAAGGTATCCAAATAATAGAACGTTAAGAATTTACGTATATTGTATTATATAAATATCATATTGAAATAACATAATGTATCAAAATTTATACTATCACAATAAAAAGAAAAAAATAACCAACATTAGAATAATGAGTAAAATTAAATATCTGAAAGACCAAATGCTAATACATATATTTATTAATGGAATTTTGATATTTTCCTTTGTCTTGTGATTAAGATAGATTTTGACACTGTAATCACCAAGAGGTCTGCTGTAGCAAAGGATACTACAGGTAGTCCTCGACTTAAAACCATAATAGGGTTTTTATTTAATTTAATTTTTTTGTTTTTATTCTAATAATAACTTATCTTTTTATAATGCCTGTTTTTATTCACTTGTTATTTTATTTTAATTGTTGTATGCCACCCAGAATCGCTTTGTGTGAGATGGGCAGCTATATAAATGTGATAAATAAATAAAGACTGGCAAATTTGTTGTTAAGCAAGGCATCATGTGACCGCACCCAATTTCACAACATTTTTTGTGGCAGTTGTTAAGTGAATCACTGTAGTTGTTAAGTGAATCATATGGTCATTAAGGGAATCACACAGTTCTCCATTGACTTTGCTTGTCAGAAACTAGCTGGGAAGGTCGCAAATGGCGATCACGTAACCCTGGGACACTGCAAGTGTTGTAAATACATGCCAGTTGCCAAGCACCCAAATTTTGATTACATGACCACGGGGACGCTGCAGTGGTCATAAGTGCAAGGGCTGGTCGTAAGTCACTTTTTCAGCTCCATCGTAACTTCGAACGGTCACTAAACTGTTCATACATCGAGGACTACCTGTATATGAAACTGAATGCGGTGTGTTTTAGTTCAGTCTGTTGTTTGTTTCTTGTTAAAGGTTGCCTGTTTTAAATCTCTCTAATCACAATGGGCTGAAATGTAATTTTATTTTATAGGAAAGCAAAGTTTTTCAGGGCTAGAATTGCAAAGCAGGATGAGATTCCATAGGTGTATGAAATTATACTGTACAAGGTACCTGTGTTCCAGTGTACTGTCTCTATATTTACTGCTTGATCAGTTAATGAACCTGGGTTGTACAGATAGTCCTCGTTTAGTGACCACAATTGAGACCAGCAACTCGGTTAAGTAAAGCGGTCGCTAAGTGAAATTGTGACTGTGCTTATGAACTTACTTCAGATTTCCTTTGTTTTACAGACCTGAGAAGGTCATAAATGCGAGTATTGGTCATAAAGTTACTTTTATCACAGTTGTAACTGTGAATGGTTGCTAAACAAGGCAGTTGCTAAATGAAGATTAACTGTATTCTGAAACAGAAAATAACAGTCAGGTACATATAGCGTCCTTCATTGTTTCCAAAGGATGACCTTGTTTCTTCACAAAAAGCCCTTCCTCAAGTACATCGATCTAGATAAGGATATGCATTTAATTGCTTGTTCTTTAAAAAAAACAGCAATCAGCATTAAGTTAAGCATGCTTTTTAAAAGGAGAAGCTTAATGAGTAGTTTTGCCCCAAAAGGTCAGGTTTGTCGGTTTATTTGCTTAAATAAGACTGTTGCTTTGAGAAAGCAGCAGGCTAATTAGTGACACAACCCATTGTTTTAAAATACTTGCACTGCAAAATGTAAATGTAAAAAAAAAAAAAAACCTTCACTTGTCAGAATGAAAAATGACAATAACAGAAAAATAATATGTAGGACATCTGTTTTAACTTTTCTTTTCTTTTTTGAGGTTACACAGGATTTTTAAAATGCATTCCAGAAAAATAATATAGAATTCAAACCCTAAATTGCAAGCAGATTAAAAAGTAAAACAAGGCTCTGTTAACATTTTACAAGATCAGTAGTTGATGCTGTTGTAAACTGTTAAAGCCTGATCTAGTATGAAATTGCTTTTCAAAAGCCCTTCAAAAGCAATACAAAAATAGTGCATTAAATAGCAGATGGAAGTAAGGTATCTGGGCATGTCAAAGAAGCACTGAAGATTTTCTTTGAAAGTTATGAATTCCAGTTGCTAAATCAGTACCAGGTGTATCTTGTGATAAATTAATGACTTTTGTGCCAGCCTAGCTACATGCCTCGGCCAGCAGAATAATTGCTGAAGGTATTGCTCATTGGATGGGCAAGACAGAAATGGAGGAAAAGCAAGATTCACGTGTCTCACTCTTCCCTCCCCTCCCAGTTTGTGTAGCACAGTTTTTCTCACCCTTGACAGCTTGAAGATGGGTGGACTTCAACTCCCAGAATTCCCCAGCCAGCCTT